TTCTTTTCTCTTTCTCTCCCTCTCCTTCCTTCTGACTTATTACACTTTCCCTCCCTCCTTCTCTCCCTCCTTCCCTTCCTCCTTCTCTCCCTCCTTCTCCCTCCTCTTCTCCCTCCTCGCGTGTGCCGGCTGCTGTACTGCAGCCCTGCTGTTTGTGTGAATAATAACCCGACAGAGTCTCGTTTCAGTCGTGCTGTATGTCTTTAAAAAGATGGTTCTTTAAGGGTTCTTTAGCAAAGACAATGCTTCTATAAAGAACCATGGAACACTGAAGGACCATTTGCATGCTTAAATGATTCTTTGCATGGTGAAATGTTCTTCAGATTGATGGAGAATGTGTTGTGCATGGTTCTATATAGAACCAGAAAGGGTCATGTCAAGTTTGTTACAACAGAAGAACCCCTTTGTGGTGCCATATAGACCCCTTTTCTAAAAGGTTAGGCTATATAGACCCATATAGAACACTTTCTCCATCAATCCGAAGAACGTTTTCACCATGCAAAGAACCATTGAAGTATGGAAATGGTCCTTCAGTGTTGATGGTTCTATATAGAACTATTTTCTTTACTAAAGAACCCTTGAAGAAGGGAGAGAGAGAGAGAGATAGAGAGAGAGAGTGAAGGAGAGAGACAGAAATGAGAGAGAAAGAGAAAGGAGAGAGAGAGAATAAGAGTGAAGGAGAGAAAGACACAAAGGAGAGAGAGAAAGAGACAGAAGGCAGAAAGGACAGAGAGAGAGAGAATAGAGAGAGAGGGAGAGAAAGGAGAGAGAGAGATGGAGTGAGCGAAGGACAGAAAAGAGAGAGAGAGTGAGAGTAAGAGAGAGAGAGAGAGCGAGCAGTGCTGACGTCTGCAGGTCAGTAAAGATCAAAGAGTCAGTGGAAACAAAAGATTAATTTGTAACCTCGTTAGAATAATGACGTCGTTGTGGCGCCATCGACCCCTCTGAACCCGCCGTGCACAGCACTGGCCGTCAGCTCCGCTCTCACTGCATCACTCAGAGCGCTGACCGCTCTATCTGGCCACTCTGATCCACCACTCTGCTGAATATAATCCCTCACTGTCCCCCAGCCAGGTGTCCCAATCACCCTCATTGATCAGGCAGAGTCACTGATCAGTTATCATGATCACACATGAGGCACAATAAAGGCGCGATCAGATTAGGCCGCTGTGGGGCTGGACCAGTGTGGATGTTCTGTGGCTGAAGTGATACCGATTTCAAACAGTCACCAGGGGGTTTGTTGGCTTCTGCTGTTCAGCCCTTATTCTCCTTATAGAACCCTTAAAGAACCATCTTTTAAAGAGAGTGTATACGGTACGTACATGTTTGGATTACTTCAGAAAATGATCAACCAACTTCTAAGACTGAACTTTGGAGGTGTGTCTGAAACTGAAAGTGAGTCTCTTAAACAGAATGGAAGCTGGAATAAAGGTGAAAAGTGACACACTGAACACTCAAACGGCTGAGTTGTTGAGGCTTCTGGGTAATTTTCAGTTAAATTTGTAATTTTTCCAACACTGAAAATGAATAATAATGGACTTTATGGTTGTTTTGACTGGACATTAAGTAAACAAAGGGTCTCTGACTTTTGCACAGGCTGGATGACCTTAAAACACAGAGACACATGTAAGTGAGGTTCTCTGAAGGTTGAGCAGGTTGAGCCCTTCACTCTGATCAATACACTGCAGATCAATCATTCACTGATCAATAAGAGCAGATCAGATATTGACAGATTCTAATCACAAGGCAGAGGGAGCAGGTGTGTGAGTGTGTGTCAGAGCTAATCAGTGAAACTGTTGATACTGCAGTGTGTGTAAAAGTATTCACTCTCTGGACTCTCTCTCTCTTTTCTTTATTTTCTCTTTTCTCTCTTTCGGTTTCATTCTTTCTCACTTTCTTCCTGTCTGTTTCTCTATATCTTTCTTTTATTCCTTCCCTTTTTTCTTTACATCTCTCTCTCTGTTATTCTTTCTGCGATTTCCTTCTCTTTTCTATCCCTTTCTCTTTTCCTCTCTCTCTTCCTTACTTCCTTTCTTATTTGCCTTTTTCTTTTCTACGTCTCTTTCTCTCTTTTCAAGATGAAGCTCAATCTAGCTTTGTCGGCATGGCTGTGTGAGGTAGTTTTATTAAAGCATTAGTACAATAACCAAGTTTACTTGGCCTGATGATCCGTAAATAATCTGACTTATAGCTCAATTGGAACAGAGCATGTCCATATAAACATCTCACTCGGAATAGTCTAGTCTGATTGAGGCCATTCGGAATACAGTTTCTGTTTCATTGAACAAGGTGGGTAATCCTATAAATAATCTGTTAAACAGAAGAATAATAACCGTGCAAACGTCTGTATTTGATTACATTCCCAATCAGAAAGTTTTAGGAGCAGAAACTGGTCTGCAGAGGAGACAAAGGTTAAAGGACTTAAAACTCATCAGCCGGACAGACGACCACAAAGCTCACGATAACGAGCTGATCAGACAAGAACATGAGCAAATCAACGAGACGAACTCACTGCTGCTCATCTCACTCTGACTGGACTCACGTGATGCTGGTTGTCACGGTAGCGTCTACCCTAAGCAGTTCTCTGCACACGCATAATTTTCGATCAGATTACTTGTAGTGAGCATGTAAACAGTGATGACAGTCACAATAACACAATGAATGTATAGCAAATAGTAACTGATAACATTAATGACTATATTTATAAAAAAACTATCATTATAACCATTATAATTATACAAATTAAACTAAGAAAAATAAGTAAACTAATATATTCGTCATTTTTATACATGTATGTAGTGTTGGGGGGTCAGTAGGGTGGGGACATGGGGGTCTCTCAGGTAGTGACATGACATGTTGCAGTGAGGAGGGGGCGGGGGGCCCTCTCTGAGAATGATTCCTAATTTTCAACTTGTGTACATTTTTCAAAATTTGAGATCAGCTTTCTAAAATTATTTGTGTATATTTCCCATGTTGGTTTAAATTTTTTACAGTGAAATTTTCTGTCTTTTTCTTTTTCTCCCTGTCTTTTCTCTCTCTCTCTCTCTCTCCCTCTCTCTCTGAATTGTTTATATCCATTCTGGCTCTGTCCACATCAATCATTTGTCGGCCTCATTAATATTTAACTGTACATTAAGCTCATTAATGTGGACATACATGAATGTGTGTAAGCGCTGTCACTGAAGAACACACACAAACACACACACACTGGGAGGATGTCCCGTCAGGACATTCTGAGGAAACAACTGCGTCCAAACAACACATCAAACAACCACGCATCAAAGCTCTGTGCGTCTTTCCTGCTGCCGCTGCATTAAAGAAACAGTTCAGCCAAAGTCATTCAAAAAAACAAGAACATTTTCTGCTGTTTTTCTACAAATCTGGAGCAGCAGAATGCTGAGGTCTGATTGGTGGTCATTACTGCTACTGAGTGCTGATTGGTTCGCATTACTGGTACTAAGCACTGATTGGTTAGCATTACTGCTACTGAGCACTGATTGGTAAGCATTGGCTTAGTGCTGATTGGTTATTACTTCTACTGAGTGCTGATTGGTTAGCATTACTGCTACTGAGCACTGATTTGTTAGCATTGGCTTAGTGCTGATTGGTTATTACTTCTACTGCGTGCTGATTGGTTAGCATTACTGCTGCTGAGCACTGATTTGTTAGCTTTACTGCTACCGAGTGCTGATTGGTTAGCATTACTGCTACTGAGTACTGACTGTTTAGCATTGGCTTAGTGCTGATTAGTTGTCATAACTCCTACTTGTTCTATAGGTTAGCATTACTGTGCTGAGTGTTACTGTGCTGAGCATTACTGTGCTGAGTAGTTAGCATTATTGCTACTGAGTGCTGATTGGTTAGTATTACTGCTAATGAGCAATAATTGGTTAGCATTACTGCTGTTGAGTGCTGATTGGTTAGCATTACTGGTACTAAGCACTGATTGGTTAGCATTGCTGCTGTTGAGTGCTGATTGGTTAGCATTACTGGTACTGAGCACTGATTTGTTAGTATTGCTGCTGTTGAGTGCTGATTGGTTATCATTACTGGTACTAAGCACTGATTGGTTAGCATTGGCTTAGTGCTGATTGGTTGTCATAACTGCTACTGAGCGCTGAGTGGTTAGCATTATTGCTACTGAGTGCTGATTGGTTAGCATTACTGTGACTTGAGTGCTGAGTGGTTAGCATTACTGCTAGTGAGTGCTGATTGCTGCACTGATTGGTTAGCATTACTGCTACTGAGTGCTGATTGGTTAGCATTACTGGTACTAAGCACTGATTGGTTAGCATTGGCTTAGTGCTGATTGGTTGTCATAACTGCTACTGAGTGCTGAGTGGTTAGCATTACTGCTACTGAGCACTGATTTGTTAGCATTACTGCTACTGAGTGCTGACTGGTTAGCATTACTGTGACTTGAGTGCTGAGTGGTTAGCATTACTGCTAGTGAGTGCTGATTGGTTGTTATTACTTCTACAGAGTACTGATTAGATAGTGTTACTGCTACTGAGCATATATATGATGTATAAAAAAACGGAAGCGAACACTTTGACGTAAGTGTGCCGTTCCCAGTACACGGATCTAGAAAAGGTTCATTTTTATTAAGAAATGATTAATCTATCAGTCCTAGTGTCAGCTCATTAGCTCATCTGAAAAGGCAGCTTTCTTTACTCATACTTTACTCAAAGTTTTCCCTCAGCTGAATAACGTTTTCAGTGCTTAGCCTACAGCTGTATGTTTTTTTGTTCCCTGAACTGTCCTAATAAAGGTGCCATTCATACTGTTCATGCTGTTGATACTCGAATATCAAATTTAGCTGAAATGCACATCCCAGGTTTGTGTGTGGTAACTGTGGAGGTCAAACAGAACACCGAGACTGTTTCCTTAAATAACCCTCGACATATGTGATGATGTCTGACTGTGTGTTTCGCGCAGCAGTGACAGTGTGTATGTGTATCTGTTATGTAACTGCGTTTGTGTGTGTGTGTCTTGTGCAGGTAACAGCCCCGTTCGTGCGGTAGCGGCAGTGTGTATCCTGCAGAGGGAGATGTGTTGGAGGAGCGAATCCGTTCTCGGCCTGCTGCTGCTGCTGCTGCCGGTTCACCATGCTGTCAGTTTCCCCGAGGACGCCGTCCCCGTGGACACCGTGGACAGACACTGTGAGACATGTGCAAACACAAACGAGAACAGAATGACATGCAATCATAATCAAAATTAAAACATTAAAACATCTAAAGTCAATTAACTTTGAGCTACTGAGTTCGGAATGGTTAGCAGTACTGCTACTTAGTGCTTATTGGTTAGCATTACTGCTACTGAATACTAATTGGTTAGCATTACAGCTACTGAGTGCTGACTGGTTAGCATTACTGCTACTGAGAGCTGATTGGTTAGCATTACTGCTAATGAGCACTGATTGGTTCGCATTATTGCTTCTTCGCACTGATTGGTTGGCATTACTGCTACTGAGCGCTGATGGAGTGACATTATGGCTACTGAATGCTGATTGATTAGCATCACTGCTACTGGGTGCTGATTGGTTGACATTACTGCTACTGAGTGCTGATTGGTTGGCATAACTGCTACTGAGTGCTGATTGGTTGGCACTAATGCTACTAACAGTTAAAGCTAATTAACTTCCTGCTATCCATTAGATTCCTGAAAACTTCAATTAAATGCTAGTAAACTGCACCCATTGTGAGTTTTCACACACATGGAAAGTACCTTTAGCCATAAAACAGTAGCTAGCAGTGTATGCTAAGACATTACTTAGCTACTCAGCTGACTTAGCTACTGGGTATGTAAATAGCTGGTGAATTCTGCTGTCAATTAAGTATTTATTCCTAAAAACCTCAACTACACAACAAAACGGTATGCCTGATCTGTCCAAATAGTGTGACAATTCACACATATGCAAAAATATATGATTTTAAATTAAAAACACTAAATGTTGGTATATTAATGAACACTGAGCTGGTCATTTCTCATTAGACTGAATAAGGGTTCTGTAAAGCTTTTGGGTGCATAGCATGAATAGGTCAGTTCAGCTTTATTGTCATTATATCAGTGCAGCATAACAAAAGCTTTCTCACTCGCACAACAAGCATGACAAGACACAATAATAGAGAAAGTGCAGGACAGAGCAGTGTGGACAAGTTCAAAAGTGCAACACGGTGACAAACACTACACTGTGCATAGTGCAGCACTGGACGGAGCGTACAATAGGAACACTAGTACAAAGATCATTACACCAACTGTATATAAATATTTAAAATGGCAGTACAGTTGTGGCCAACAGACTATGCATGAACAAGTGCCTGAACACAGTTTAATTCCCCAAACACTTTTCAGTGGTTAAAAGAATCAAAGGGTTTATTTAACCTCACTGCTAACATGGCTAAGTATGAATGGATGCTAGCAGGGAAAGCCAGCTATGAGCATTTTTGGCCAAATCTCCCTGTAAGCCGAGTCCCAGATTAACAGGCAGGATTTTGGATGGAGAATCCACTCAGGCGGTGTAAACTAGGCTTAATCTGTGTCCACAAATCTGTGGAAAGTCTCGGAAATGTTAGCTGTCCGCTAGTCCCAGGCTGGAGTCTGCATAGGTTCTCTCAATCATCCAGTCATTTTCAGAATTCTCAGAAACCTAGCTCATCTGTGTTACCATCCATTTTGCAAACCAGTTTAGAAACTCAAACTCAAGCTGACCAATTGATATATCATTTTTTAGGAAGATGACTCGTGCACAGGTGCACTTATTACATGCTGACTGCATTATCTCTGATTCTACAGGCAGTCTGCTGATGCTGCACCCATTTATTGGCGCTAGCTTCCACCGCAAAGATCTTCTCTACATGCTGCTAGTCAACACCCTGCAGCAGAAATACACCTAGTCACTCAATATATTGCAAAACAAACATAGCTAATAGTGCAACGCCATGCAATGCAAATGCAGCTAATGACCCAATATCCTGCAGAACTAATCAGTCAATACCCCGCAGTAAAGACACAGTTAATCATTCAGTGCCTTGCAACTCAGATGTGGCTAATCAATACCCTGCGGCACAAAAGTGGCTAATCAATACAGATATGGATTATCCAAGTCTTTTAGCATAGGTCAGGTCACCACTTTGTCACTGTGTAGCCTGAGGAATTCCATGTTCTTTCCAAATGTAGATTCCCGGCAGTATCCGGTGTTCCGGGGCCGGCCGTCGGGAAACGAATCACAGCACCGGCTGGACTTCCAGCTGATGACGAAGATCCAGGACACGCTCTTTATCGCCGGCAGGTAAAAACCGTCTTCAACACTAACTCACATAGAAAACACTTGTTGTAAGACTGCTAGCATAGAATACTAACAATGTTAGCATTAGTTTCCTAGTAACATTATCAAAGATTTTATTGAGACTGGCATGAATTCAATGCTAGTTTATGCTGGTTTGTGCTGGTCGGGTGCTGACTTAGCTGGTCACCCAGTTTTGGTCATTGGTCATTGTGTCCAAAACACAACACAGACCGGCTTTGCTGGCGACCAGCTGGTCTGTGCTGTTTTTCTAGCAGGGAGCTAGGTAGCTAATGCTAACGTTACCTAATCACTTTTTACAAAGTGACTGTTATATGAAAAACAGCGATTGCTACATCAACATACTGCACGTGATAATGATGCAATAGGGCTTAGTGGCTTTGTCCTCACATGAAAAAGTAAAGAATTTGCTAAATTTGATATAAAATAAACATCAAATAAACAACTGTCACTCACTGCTGCCCTCTAAAGGCTTCATTACACCGATTACAAAGTACAAGTTTGGTTGTTTTATAGGAATCTCAGTGTATCTCAAAGCATTCTTTTATTATTTATATTTACGCCTTATAATAGGGGGGATGAAATTGCTTCTTTTCAACAGTGCGGGGGTGCATCACTCCGACCTTCTCCCACTTAAGTTATTGGGAAATAAATTACCAAATTCTTGGATCGCTACTCCTGCTGCAAGAAGGTTGATGAAGAGAGAAAGGACAATGTGACCTGCATTGGTAGCCAAGCTGGGCAGACTGACAAACTTAGCTCAGTGCACTGCTACTCTTCTCTCTCTCTCGCTCTCTCGCTCGCTCTCTTTCAATCTCATTCTGTCTTTCTTGGCAGTGACTCTAATTTGTTTTCCCTCCCTCGTTAACAGGGACCAGGTCTATTTAGTGAGTCTGAGGGAGTCTTACAGGAACGAGATCATTCCCTACAGGGTGAGTTCATCCTGCTAATCTCCTCGGTAGCCGGAAATGGCCTACAAACTGAATAAAACCATAAAAATGGAAAAGTTTAAAGGAATAGTTTGGTGAAAAGTTTGTTTTATACAGGTTTTTCTCCCTTATCTCACATGTAGTTGATCAGCCATGACATGTTTTTGGCAAAATGTTGACAAAATTCAGGCTTTAGGTTGGCTGTTTTTAGTTATGCCAATGTCCTTTAGTCCATGTTTTTAGATAACTGTGTTTCATATAGTATCAGAAACCACATAATTAAGTCTATAAGCGATACTGAACACCTCCACACTGTTTGAGATGAGTGGGTGATAATCAGGCACCATGGTAATCACTGATGCTAATAGGCTTCTAATAATTGTTAGCTGTATTAGCCTTGTAGCTCCAGTGCTAAAACAAATCAAGCAAACTTCAGACATGTCTTGGCCAATCGGCTATATTTAGTGAAAGAGAGGAAACTGGATACATTTGATATTTTGTCAAACTATTGCTTTAAGATGCCTGAATAGAGTGAGTGGAAATGCAGCATTGTGGGTAATGCGGTTCTGAAATTACAGAAACTAACGTGGAGGTCGGGCCAGGCGGACAGAGAGACGTGTGCCATGAAGGGAAAACACAGAGTGAGTGATTCTCCTCAGGCTTTTAGCGGAAATGAGACCACAACTTTCCACACGTTATTTACACTACTGCAGCGCCATAAATCTCTCTCTCTCTCTCTCTCTCTCTCTCTCTCAGGATGAGTGCCATAACTTTATTAAGGTCCTGGTTCCCAGAAATGATGATCTAGTGTTCATCTGCGGCACTAACGGCTTCAACCCCATGTGCCGTTACTACAGGGTATGTTTACACACACACACACAAACACACCACACACACACAAACACACACCACACACACAGATCCGTTCCAGTTCAGTGAACTTTATTGTAATAACCAATTCAGTAAAAGATGAGAAACAAGATAACAGCAATAATAAAACATGCAGAACCAACAGCAACAGTAAACAAACGACAGTGAACCAAACATATAAACGCAGATATACACAGCAGCATGTGGGTGTGTGCCTGGTTCCAGTGACTTACATTGAAATTAAAGCAGGTTTTTTCCTTCTCCTGTAAAGTTATCATTTTGGAGATATGAGGTTTTGTTCTGACAGCAGCAATATATATATATATATATATATATATATATATATATATATATATATATATATATTTAAAGAGAGAGAGAGAGCTATGTGTACATATATACAGTCAAAAAGTGTATATATCATATATACAGCCAGTAAGTGCATATCATATATACAGTGAATGGTTCAACTCGGAAATGGAATTTGTCACTTGCCAATGCATTACTGTAGATATATATATGGCTCTAAGTATATATTGCAAAAATACTATTGAAATATTCCATAATACAATGTCATGTATTTTCTTATTACATGCATTAAGTACTTACCCTTTCTCTGTCTATCTCGGTCTCTCTCTCTCTCTCCCCCTCCCTCTCTTTCTCTCTCTCTCTCTCTCTCAGCTGGATAACCTGGAGTTTGATGGTGAGGAGATCAGTGGGTTGGCACGATGCCCATTTGATGCCAAGCAGACCAACGTTGCCCTGTTTGCAGGTCAGTGAGTGAGTGTGCGAGTGATGAATGACTCTCTTAGGATCTGTGGGAGTTTTTTGGGGGGAAATATTAAAGCCAGCTTTCATCTCGCACATAAATCACCACCAACAACACACACAAACACCGCCTCCCGTCACCCAGCGCAGTGCGGATGCCTAAAAACGCTGAATTAGTTCAGAGTGGCCGTAGAGAGGGTGTGGGGAGGGTGATTCCGGGACTGGGCTGCCATTTGTGTCATACTGATGTTACTTTTACACATAAGTATGTAAAGCAAAGATAAAATACATTTTAAATGCAGGTAAAGTGTCTTTACCAACAACATATGAGCATGCTGATAGGTAATGAATTATGACATTAAGAAAACCAACATTTACTGCACATTTTTGCCTGTCACAGCCCACTGTTACCATTGAACCCAAAACATAAACAATTTCACTTACATACAGTATCCTTCAGAGCTTTGAGGCTGAAGTTTTAGCATTAGCTAGATATGTCACTAAGTTAGCTTGGCTAGCTATAGTAGCCTTAAATGCCAATTAAAGCAGCATGCCTTTAGGCTAGACACAGCAGAGAAGTTTTATTTTGTACCAGATATTAGATAAAAATCATGTAGGATTATAAACATTAGTAAAATAGGCTAATAGACCTCAGCAACAAAGGCTAACAACACTATGTTACTATGTTACCAACAAAGTTGGTAATGTTGAAGGCCACAAATATGACTGAGCTGACTTTATCATATTTAAGTATGATGGTCAACATTACTTATTTGCAAGAACCGAGAAACTTCCATAGCAGCCACTGCTAATGCTAAAGGTTGAGTTGAAGGTTTAGGAATATGGCAACAGCTAATTTGGCCATATTTGGATGCTGAGCCAGTTAGGCTTTCTCAGCTAGGTGATGTTGATTACCTAACTAACTTATCTGTAAAGTAGCTAGCTACCCTAACAAAATCATACTTATCACAGTATTATTATTATTAGTGAATGGTGAAAAATGAATATGAATTGATTTACGATGTGAGTGTCTAATGTATTTGTATATGTTTATAGACGGTAAACTGTACTCGGCTACAGTAGCAGACTTCCTGGCCAGTGATGCGGTGATTTACCGCAGCATGGGGGATGGATCTGCACTCAGAACCATCAAATATGACTCTAAATGGTTAAAAGGTAAAAAATGCACACATACACAAACATACATACACTCCGTTCGACAATCCAGGTCACCACTCAGACCAAAAAAGACTACATGAAAAATTCACATCAGGTCAACACTGATAATACTCTCTTTCTCTCTCGCCCTCTTTTCCCAGAGCCGCACTTTCTGCATGCAGTGGATTATGGGAACCATGTTTATTTTTTCCTACGAGAGATCGCAACAGAACACAACAACCTGGGGAAGGTATGTCTCACAACCACAAACTCATTAAAGCTCAGAGATTGATTTCCTCAACCAGGCTTTGTCCACAAATGTGCTCTAACAGACACTGGTTGATGGGCCCTGCTAGAAACGCCTACACAGACTAAATCAAATCTTTCTGCATTATTTTTCATTAAAAGTAGGGATGTGTTTTGGATGGGTGTCATGGTTATGCTAAGTGACCAGATAAACTAGCTCAGTATAGATTCCATGCTGGTCCGTGCTGCGTTTTTTAGCAGTGGTGCTAAGTAGAAACTTCAGTACAAGAGGGAAAATCTTGTCTGTAAATTTCTTTGAGTAACTTCAGCCCTGTACAGTTGCAGGGTAAGCCATGATGCTAACTTAGCCAGTTAGCATTCTGTGAACATTCTGCTTAGCATATCAGTCAGATGTTTACCTAATTAAATGGCAAAAAAACACACCTCTTCCATCCTAACAGTGTGGCCATTCATACAGAAATGAATATATTGTAAATACTGTAATTTAAACTGTAAATGGAGTTTGTGGGCGAAGCATGGAAAGGTCAGCTGGTTCTGACCGCTACAAACCCGTAAATACATTTTCATTTTAAAACATGTATTAGCATGGTGTGTTTCACAGAAATCACAGATTTGTGTGTGTTTGGTTGAAACTCTGTGTCCTGTGAATGTATCAGCACCCTGCCACAGACCTGCTAATGCTAATGAATATTTCAGTTTGCTAATCGCAGCAGTCTGCACCTGCGCCTGGGTGATGATTTGTGCAGCTGAATTATTAAAGCACTTACACATGGCTAATTCCATCACTCCAGCCACTTACAGAGCTACTCTTTATCAATGAGAGCGATTTAATTGTTATCTCTTGTTGCTAATGATTTATTTTATTCTAGATTTATATCACAATATATTCCAATCTCTCTCTCTGTTTAGGTGGTGTACTCTAGAGTAGCTCGTATCTGTAAGAACGACGTTGGAGGTTCTCAGCGTGTTTTGGAGAAGCACTGGACGTCGTTCGTTAAAGCACGGCTAAACTGCTCCGTACCCGGAGAGTCCTTCTTCTACTTCGACGTGCTTCAGTCCGTCACTGACATCATCAACATTAATGGCGTGCCGTCTGTCGTGGGAGTGTTTACAACACAGCTAAACAGGTAAACACACCTTTACACATACGTTTTTCCTTATTAGGCTTGTTTATGATGGCTAATCTGACTTATTAGTGAAGAAAGTTGGGAACGTTAAAGGTCTGAGTTGGATGTGTAGGAATGTGATAAGTGACCAGCTAAGCTGGTCATATTTAGGTGCTTTAATATGGAGGCTGACATGACTTGCCAACAACTCGCTACCCTGCAGAAAAAAAAACAGCACAGAACAGCAAGCATTTCATGCTGGTCTAAGATGGTCTGTGCTGGTTTATGTTGGTCCAGTTCTGGTTTAGCTGGTCACCCCAGCATGGTCATGCTGGTTGACCAGAGTACCAGCATCAAAACATAACATATGCTGGTTTTGCTGGTGACCAGTCATGCTGGCCTATGCTGTTTTTTTAGCCGGGTAGCAGCCACACTGCTAATGCTAAAGGTTGATTTGAAAGTTTAAGAATACGACAGCCGCTTATTTAGTCATATTTGGATTAGGGCTGGGCAATATGACAATATTTACTGTTATTATGATAAATTACATAACAACATGGTTTTCTGAGTATATTGTGGATATCGTCAGCACTTACCAACTTCATGTTTGATTTAAAAAGTGAGCATAATTCGTCCTGTTTAATTTTATGTTGTGCAGCACAGTGTGTAAAATGCTAAATTTAAATAATTAGATTCATAGTTTTTGACAGTGTTTTTAATATGTTGGCTTATTTTATCTGACTTTCTAGATGTCAGAAAAAATAAATATCATGACATATCATGCATTGTAAAAATTCTTGAAGTATCGTGATATGACATTTTGCTATATCACCCACCTTTAATTTTGATACTTAGCTGGCTAAGCTTTTGAGCCCAGTCACTGAAGATTATTGATAATCGACTACTGTTTGTTGTTTAGTATCCCAGGCTCGGCCGTCTGTGCTTTCTCTATGCCGGACATCGAGAAGGCTTTCCGTGGACGCTTTAAGGAACAGAAAACCCCGGATTCCGTCTGGACGCCGTTCCCCGAGGAGAAGCTGCCCAAGCCCAGGTGAGCTACACCTGCCACACCTGCGGATAACCACCTAATCGCTCAGGGCTAAATAATTAATCAGGGATAATTAGACACACTGCATATTTTATGCGATTCGTGCAGCGGCCATATGTGTGCGGGTGTAAGTTTACAGGTGTGTGACACTGTTTTGTCTTTTGCGGGGGGGTGTTTTTGTGTGTTTTATGCGGTTCCTGCCGAGCATGACGGAGTGTGTGTGTGTGTGTGTGTGTGTGTGTGTGTGTGTGCAGGCCAGGCTGCTGTGCGGGTCACGGATCAGCAGAGTCTTACAAAAGCTCCATCGAGTTTCCGGACGAGACGCTGCAGTTCATTAAGTCTCACCCGCTGATGGACGCCGCCGTGCCGTCTATAGGAGATGAGCCGTGGTTCACCAAAACCAGAGTCAGGTCAGATCCGGAAATGTACTGACCCTATAATAGCTCTCCAAATCAGCACTGTTGGACCTACTGATCTTACCGTAAATAAGTCACCTGACTGAGAAGGCAGAAATAGTGCAGCTTTATCGCTAGCCAGGCTGACTGCTTCAGCTGATGTTAGCTAGATCCAGAAACAGTCAAAAAATATATATTTCTCTGACAAACTAACATGTTGGCATATCATCCACTGTGGAGAAAAGACTTGTGTAGAAGTCGGCGAGTCCTCATCAACATCCAATGTTGTTCTGGTTAGCTCACACGTGGTTTTGAGGCGAGGCATGCAGTTAGCATCATGCTAATTGGTGGAGTATAAGGGCGCTTTCACACTATAGCTTGTTTCTGGACCCAGAGCTGCTTGCTCTGCGAGTTCGGTACATTTGGTCAAGTGTGAGGCTGTTTTCGAGCCCAGGAGCGGAACAGAGAACTGGTCTTTGGTCCCTCTGAAATCAGTGTTCTGGGTTTCACACACAAGTTTGAAAACACCGTTAGCTTTCATTACTTGTTAGCTACATTAGCCTCATAGCTCCGGTGCTAAAAATAAAGAAGCAAACTTCAGACACCAAACATGTCTTGTATTCTCTGGTGTGCAGATACAGACTGACTGCTCTGGCGGTGGACAACGCTGCCGGTCCCTTTAACAATTACACAGTGGTTTTTATCGGCTCTGAGGGTGGGATAGTTCTGAAGGTTCTGGCCAAGACGACAGCGCTGTCGCTCAATGAGAGCGTCCTGCTGGAGGAGATCGACGTCTTCAACCAGGCCAAGTACGACCATCTCAATAATTACACTTTTACTCTCCGTATTCTTTATTGTTCATTTACATAAGCATATTTCACCAAGACGAATTCTCATATCAAATTCTGACTCTCTGTTTTTTACTTATATGTTTTTAAAAACTATTTTTAGTGCTATGTATCTTTTAGTCCCATCATTCTGAGCCAAATCTGGTGTGTAAAAGGTATAAATTAACATTCTTATCTCTTTGATACCTTAGCATTGCTAGTGCCATGCTTTTCCATCTGAGCTTCAGGAATATATCCATAGGTTTATCATTTTTTTCAGAATTTCTGCCACTGTCCTGATTAGGACAGAAAAGCAAAATGAGGAAAATTGTATTTTTTGTATTGAAAATAAAAATGCTCTGTGTCGCAGTGCGGTTGATTTAAGCCTGAATAGTGCTGAGTGACAGAACAATCTAATAACACGTCATTAACTCCTCTCTCTATCTTTCTGTCTCTCCTTCCCTCTCTCTGTGCAGATGTTTGTCCACTAATGAGGACGATCGGCGTATTCTGTCCTTCCACCTGGACAAAGACTCACAAACTCTGTTTGTGGCGTTTTCCAGCTGTGTGGTGCGGATTCCGCTGAGCCGCTGTGAGAGACACCGAACCTGCCATAAGTGAGTGCTCCACACAAACGCTGCATGCTCTTGGTATTCTGGCATGTTTTCATGACACCTTAAACATCTTTTGTTGCTTTCCCACCTCTCTATTTAATTTTTTTAATGCAATACACGTTTTGAGCCTTGCATAAAATTCTGAAATATACTGTGTTTTCAGTTAACTCTAATACCTTTTTTTTTAGCAGCTAACTAGCTTGCAGTGATCGCTAAAGGTTTAACTGCAGGCTAGCAGTGTAACTATACAGATTATATGAAGCTAGTTATCTTCATTTGAAGAAATGCTGTTCTGCTGTGTGTTACAGGTCGTGTATTGCCTCCAGAGATCCGTACTGTGGCTGGATGCCTCATGGAGCCTGTGAGAGAATTCCAGCAGGAGTGCAGTAAGTTAGAGCACACAGACAGTCCTGCACCGTCCCACACTGTCCCACACTGTCCTGCATTCTCCCAGACTGTCCCACACAGTTCTACACAGTCCTACACAGTTCCACACTCCCCTACACTGTCCCAGACAGGCCCACATTATCCCACATTGTCCCATTCAATCCCACACTGTCCCTTAGAGTCCAACACTGTTACACGCAGTCCCACACAGTCCCTCAGAGTCCCACACTGTCCCACACAGGTCTTGCACTGCTACACGCAGTCCTTCACTGTCCCTCACATTCCCACACTGTCCCAAACAGATACTGCACTGTCCCACACTGTTCCAGACATTCCTACACTCTCCCAGACAGTTCCCACTGCGCTCAGTGCTGTGTTACTGATGAATGAATGTGTTTACTGTTTCACAGCTTTATTCTTAATCAGTACACAGAGGTCAATGTGCAGTGGACTCACTCTCTCTCTTTCCTCTTTTTTTATCTCCCCTTTTCCCCTCTACATTTTTTTCCTTTTCTCTTTCTCCCCCACTTGTTCTTTCCCCTCCCTCACTCTCTACCCTGTACTTCCTTTCTCTCCCCGTCAATCTCCTATTTTCTCTCTCTCTCCCTGCTGCTCTCTTTCTCCCCACATCCATCTCTCTTCTCTTGTACACTTTATTTTTTCTCTCTTCCCTACACTTTATCTCTTTCTCTCTCTCCTTCCTCAATCTCTACACCCTGCCCTCTCTCTCTCTCTCTCTCTCTCTCTCTCAGGTCAGGTTTTGAGCAGGATGTTGAATTTGGAAACACGGCACGACTCGGAGACTGTCACGGTGAGATTTGTGTTTTCATCGTCATGCAGAAAGCTCACACGCTTCACACTACTAACACACACACTCACACACACACGCACACATACACAGTTACTGTCACATGCTACTAATGCTAAACATTCGGCATCTCAGCCCAGCCGGCTCAAGAGAAGCAGAACTGGAGAATAACTGCATAAAATTTATTTTTGTGAACGTTAAAACGTCTATCCTAGCTCTAGGGCCTTTATCTTTTGAGTTTAGAGTTTTTATTTTCCTTATTTTATGCTGATTTCTTGTTCCTTTAATTCCTTTAGAGTTTTTGACTACTGCTTCAGCGCCAGATTTCAAATCATATGGCGACCCAACTTCTGGTTAGTTTCCTTTACTCCAATGATTTCTTTCCTTGAGTTCAGCATTCTCTCAGTCTCTCGCACTTCATCCTCCACCGCTGCCATTTAACCCTTTTACCACACGGCTTCTTCATCTTCATCTTCATCAGCATCTGCATCTTCATCTACATCTCCAGGGCTTTGGTTCTTTGGCCTAGACATCTGTCATCTGTATCGCTATTTCATCAGTCTTTCTTCACTTTTCTGTTCCTCTTCTATCTTTCATCTGCATGATCTATAGCCATGTGGCCTCTCTTCCACACCTTCCCCAGTCCTCCTTTTTCCTGTTTTCTGGAGACTATTCAATCCTTCTCCCCCTTTCAGCCGGTATTGTGTCTCATAGATGCTTATTCTGCTGGAACATGATCAGGCTTTCAGGTTTTAAATCAGTTAAAAGCATTAGCTTAGCATCATAAGCAGCTTCTGCTGTTGCTTAAAAAGAACAAACTGATGGAAACTTCAGTTGAAGTGATAGTTCTGTGAAACATTGTTTACCGTTTACTCTAAATGTCAATCAGCCAAGACATGTTTGGTATGCAAAGTTTGCTAACACTACAGGCTAATGTATCTACGAAGTAGCAGTGGCTAAAAACAGTACTAAAACCATTTGTAAAGATAACAGTCAGAAACCATAAAAGTTTCATGCATGCAGTTAGCACTATGCTTGTTGGGGTGTAAGCTAACATTAGCTTCCTTGGCCTCATAGCTCCAGTGCTTAAACTAAACAAGCAGACTTCAGCCACCAAACATGTCTTGGCTAAACGTTGACATTTGGGGAAAAACGATGGAGATCTGATTTCTGATTTTTCGCCAAACTATCGCTTTAATGGAGCCAGTGTTGTGGCCCTAAGCTGGGGTCCGCTAACCCAACGAACGCTCTGCTGTCCCTGCCGCCTGTTCCGTTTGTGAATATTGTGTTTGTCGCCACAGACATGGAGTTACCAGCACCGTCAGTCACGCCGTCCGCCGCCTCAGGCCCCGTAGAATCACCCCAAACTGTTCCCTCTCTGCCTCCCACACTCTTTGGCTCACGGAAATTCGTTCTCCGAGATGACCCAGACACTTCCCAATCATTCCCGGGGGTGCTGGAGGGTAAGGCCTTAAACGGGAGCAATGCTGCGCAGCTGCACAGAAATCTGGGTAATACACTGCCTGTCAAAAGTTTGTTGATACCCAGCTTTTCGAAATGTTTTCACCACAAATGAGCATGTTTTGTGTCAGTGTGTAAAAAGTTAACATATTAAAGACTGAGCAGGTCTATTAAGACGACAACAGTATCAAACACGTTTGTGACAGTAGTTAAAAAATCTGTCCGTTCATAAAAAACTATTTTTTTACAAGAGATATTGTTTTACAAGAGATATTGTTTTTTGTCATCATAAGTGGGGTAGTTTTTAATATGTTAAGTGATTACTGACACAAAAACAATGCTAATTTATTAAAATAACGTCTTTTTGAAAAGCTTGGTGCCCCCAAATGTTCACCTGGCAGTGTAGTTGCTGCTAGCAGTCATCTGAAAGAGGGTACAAGTCACAGAAGTGACTGAGACTGATTATCAGTCATGTTGCATTAGCTAAGCAAAGCTAACTGTATGTGCTGGTTGACAGCTTTTTACAAAGCTTAGCAGGATGATGCTAACAGCAGTGCTCAGATCCTGTCAGCTCACATGGCAGTTTGTTTCTTCTTTCAGTTCTTTCAGTTCTTTCAATTTTGTTGTTGTTTATTCTTCATCAAACGACTTTGGTTTACATGTGCTTTATTTACCATTAATCTCTGCAAGACATTTCTTTTCTATTTGCTTATACAGACCTTCTTTTTAAGATCTGAATATTGCTTTCTGTTTTGGTTCCCTTTTCTCTACTTCTTTCCTATGTAGTTTTCTTTGGTTTCTTCTTTTGCTTCTCTGGTTTTAAGAAGTCCTCCCGAAGGCCTTGCCACTGACCACCACTGTTGTAGCGTTTCACTTCAACGCACAATTAACACTCTCGAATGCCTACAGTTACTAACAGACCTTGAACGAACTCTTCTTCTCAAAACGATCTCGGTTATCTGGGGTAGAAGGGAAAACTTTCCACCCAATCCAACAAAACACTAACCTCCTTTATTCCTTTATAGGCATGCCACAAAAAATTTAAACATAAAACTTTTTAGCGGCTGACTAGACAGCATCTTCACTAATATAATCTTGGGTAGCTTTTAGCCACTAGCTGATCCATTTCTCTGATGTCCTGTGTATGTATAATGGGTCTTCTTCATACGATTCAATAACCTAAAAATTCTTCAATAGCCGTGTAAAATGCTCAGATTACCGGGCAAATCTTGTCAAATGTGAAATTTCACTTAATGACAAAATACCTACGGGGGAAAGGGGGAGCAGACTCTACCTTTCTGCTGGAATCTCAGTGGGAAGAGTAGGGCAGATCAGAGTGTTGTGCTTACAAGAATTAACATGTCATTGGGCTGTATATGTGTTTCAGGTGTGTGGGAGATCCAGTCGGGTGATTCCAACCAGATGGTACACATGAACATCCTCATTACGTGCGTTTTTGGCGCCTTCCTCCTGGGGGCGCTAATCGCCGGGATGATCGTCTACTGTTACCGCGATGCCTTCCTGCGCAAACCACGCAAGATCCACAAGGATCAAGAGTCGGCGCAGTCTTGCACGGATTCCACGGGAAGCTTCGCCAAGCTCAACGGCCTCTTTGAAAGCCCAGTAAAGGAGTACCCGCATCCGATGGACACGCCCAAGCTCTATTCCAGCCTGCTCAGTGGGGGGAAAGAGGTGCCACCATCACCAGACACCAAGACCATGATCCTCAGTGGGCAGAATCCAGACCTGACTGCTCTGCCTACTCCCGAATCCACACCAGTGCTTCAGCAGAAGACCATGCAGCCTGTCAAAAACCAGTGGGAGAGGGCACAGGGGAAGCTTGGGCGCAAGGAAGGTCCGCCCAAGAGTCCCCAGTACCTTCCATCCAACTCTCCTACACACCCAGCTATCGGGAACCATCAGATCCCAAGTGCCGTAGTGCTTCCCAATGCCACACACGAGCATCGGGCATCTAGTCCTGAGGGTTCCCGACCAGAGAAGAAGGTCCAAAACAGCGAACATCATGGCTCCAAATCAGGCCGCAAGGAACACCGACGCTCAGTGGATGCAAGAAACACGCTAAACGACCTTCTGAAGCACCTGAATGAGAATAACAGTGGTCCTAACCCCAACAAGGGCATCATGGTCGAGGTACCACGTCCTCGGCAACACCTGATGCTGGAACCCTTGGGCAACGTAGCGGAAATCCCGCCCAAGGTACCAAGCAGGGAAGCATCTCTCTACTCTCCGTCCTCTTCACTGCCCAGAAACAGCCCGACCAAGCGGGTGGATGTGCCCTCCACACCCACTTCGCCCACCGGGCAACCAGGTGGTACGCTGGAGAGGCAAAGGTACCACCGAGGATCCTCTCAGCGCCATTCAATCTCCTCTCCACCCAAAGGGTTACACTCACCCAATGGGGTGATGGTGACCCGACAGCCTAGTTTCAGCAGGGGCGGGTACGTGCCGCCCACGCCACCCTCTAGACTGGACTCCCATGGGGTGCCAATGGCCATGACACCCTCAGTGTCCCGGCAGAGCAGCTACAGTGGGCACGGCTCTCTGCCTCGGACCAGCGTCAAACGGACAGCTTCATTAAAACCTGACGTGCCGCCCAAACCTAATGGCTTTGTGCCGCAGACTGCTCAGATGAGGGTTGTGAACAAGTACAGCTACTGATGGGGCTCGTTTTTTGCGGGCCGGTGAATAAAGTGAACAGGACACTGGATGTCAACATAAATGAGCTGTAGAGGGTCCAAACATGATGTCCTCGTGCCGAATGCCTTTGCAAAGGGCCAGTGAACAGGACACTGGAAGTAAAAAAAAAATATGCTCATTTGCCCTGCGGAGGGTCCGAACCTGGATGTCCTCTTGCTGGGGAAAGCATGGCAGAGACGCAGAAATCCTTCCGCAGGCTCTTGCTAACTTTATTTCACGCCATGTTAAAATCTGATTGACAGGTGATGATGGCCTCTGACCTTCAAGGCGGCAGGGTCGTCTGAGGTCTGAGGTCTCGGGTGCAGCGGCAGTGAACTCTACGCTGTGGGAATACTTGAAGAAAGCCTCTTGTTCCTCCGTGCCACCCCGCAGCGATGCAAACCCAGCAGAAATGAGGGCGGTGGACGGAGGAACGTGTGCATTAGGCAAAAACTTGCTGTTTTAAAGACGACAAAACTGCAGAGCACGTCCGTGTGAGAGAACATGTTTTATGCTTTTAGCAGCATCCAAGGGAGGGACAGAGACTCTTTATTTTCAGAGGAGTAGCCTCTGGGGTTAACCAGTCTGCATTCAGCGCTCACACAAAAGGATGCACTTACAGCTGGCTTGTCTCCAGCTGCAGTCATTACTGTCATAAAACTAAAAAGCCCATTTCAGGGTAAGTTAACATCACACGTGTGTGTGTGGTGCCGTAGAGGCAGATATTAATCAAGCGTTTCTGTGTGCAGAGGAAATGTCCAGGGTGCCTACTTGGACGATGTTTTTTTGTTTTTTTAACTCACTGAGGACTTACTTTTTGCTGCTATTGGGTTAGATGAAAAGTTGTTGTGCATTTTTGGTGCCTGTGCATTGATCGGCTCAGCCTGAGCCCTTGCGCTTGCAGGTTTGTGTTCGATCTCGCTGATCTGGTACGGCATTTTGTCTCTTCCCAATTGGGCCTATGGAGACACAGTGAAGCCTGTAGACTCATACAGCACTTCATAAACCGTGAATTATACCCACTTTCTCTCTCTTTCACTTCACAAACCGGATTTCTGGTTTTCCCCCAAATACCAAGTGCTGGAGCCGTGCTTCTCTGAATTAGACTATTGAAACCTTTACGAAATAAAGGCAGCCTTTATGACCAAAAGAATCCCCCCTAGGAGTCAAATAAGGTAACCTCATCCTGTTCTATCTTATGCTATCCTAAACGTGAACATATTTTTTCCCCCTTACGAAATTTGGTCTAGTGTAGAAACATTTCATCTTACTGTATTAGCCATTATATTTAACTAATATTAAACCACAGATGGCACATTCAGCAGGCAAGGTGCAATGTGTCCACATCGCTCAGTACAGGCCAAATTCACTGTCTGGGTCCGTAAAGCTCCTGGAAAACCACGCCTCAGCCATTAAATTGATTATCACAATGAATCGTCGTAACATCTACCAATGTGTCCTACAGAGTCATGCCGGTAATGACGTTATTGTAAATATATAAATATATGAATATGGATATTTCAGAGGCAAGTGTACCGGGGTTTGTGTATTCTGTGCCTTATTAAAAGACTCAACGTTTTTGATTTGGTTCAGGCATCGTGTTGCAACCACTGCGCGCATTTTGACCACAGATTGGGAAGAAAAGTAAACTGAAGTGAGAACAATAAAACTTTATGCATTTGCCATTTATTACAAAGGTGTTTTTCTTTCTCTTTTTCCTCTTTCTGGTCATCGAAGGGTATCATTAGAGCCGGTTGGAGAACGCACTCAGACACTGGAATGTAGACACACTTTCATTCTGCAAAACTACGCTCGCTCTTTTCACGACACGGAAAGAGCAGGTTCAAACGTAACGAGGGAAACGAGACTTGCTTTTTTCTTGAAATACTTTTGAATAAAAGAAAAACCAACGTCTTGTCCGTTCTCCAGCCGGCTGTCAAGATCCGACACTGCGGTTTCGTTTACACGCGATGATTGTATTTAAGTAACTGCCTGTGCGCTGAGCTGCTGGACGCCTGACCTGACTGCTCCACTGCCTTGTATATTGCAATATGAACTTGTTTTTTCTGTTGCAATTTGAAACAAAGCCTTCACATTTCAGCCAACTGTTCCGTGTGCAAACGTAAAACCGACTGCCCTACCTGCATCGTGTTTTTTTTCTTTTTTAATTTTGTTTTTATTTTTTTACTGTGCAAAACTGGGACTCATTTGCTTTTTTTTTGTTTTCCAGAGTATTTTAACGTGTAGATATGTTGCAAAAACTGTACTGTGAACATGTAAATAATACCGTCATTGTTAAGGATATTTTTGTTGATTTTTTTTAACACGGCATGTATAGTTGAAATAAAATATTACTGCACATATCAGTTCGTGTTCTTTTATTATTGGTATTTATTCGCTCTTTTTGTAAACAGAAGATTTTACACGTGTTCTGTGAATTGGAGCAAGATTAACCCTTTATATATCCACACTGAATCACATCAGATCTTTGGTATTTGTTACTTATATCAACACTCATTACATTCCCCTTTACCAGCTAGATATTTGTTATAGTAATAAAGGTTTCTGATTTATGAGCCATTACAAATTAAGAGAACCCCATACCTACATCACCTACATCTCAACTGCATATTGCTTGCACCTCACAATGCTTTAGTTCCTTAAATACACAAAGTACAAACATTTCAAGCATCAATAGTTCAAATGTCATGACTTATCAAAGTCCTCTGAACTTATTTTAAGGTGTAAATTAAGGTCCTGGCCACTTTTTAAAGCCTCTGTGCCTCAAAGATGAATAAAGATGCAAGCCTAAAGTTTTGCACACAGTCTGTTGAGTAAAATAACATTAGTATTATATATATATATATATATATATATATATATATATATATATAAAATTTAAGCAAATCTGAGATTGTCAGATGGGAGGCTTTCAGGAATTTTAAATGGACTGACCTGGAAATGAGCCAAACCCAACCATAAGCGGCACTACATTAGGTCTTTCTTCAACTCTTTTGTGAAAAAAGTAGCTAATTTGAGGCCATGTTCTTGATAAATGTTGGTTTTTCATTTTTTATCAATAAGTGTTTATAATCCCCACGACCCAGAAGGATAAGCGGCTTAGAAAATGTGTGTGTGTGTGTGTGTGTGTGTGTATTTATAATGACAATGAATCACATTTACAGTTTAAAAACTTTGTCGCGCCTTCTGGCACAAATAGAACTGAAATATCAATAGTAATTTTAATTTTATTAATTTTGTCCCAATTTTTTTCCATTATTGCTGACCCTGGTTTTCCCTATATGTTAAATTCAGTAAATAAACAGTAGCTGTGCATTAAAATGTGCATAGGTTTGTTCTCTGTAGAGGAAATGTTCACTTATTTACACTTCGAAAATAAAGAAATACATGGAATTTGACCGGGGCGCACAAACTTTTGCACTCGACTATACCTCAAAGTTTTTTTCCAGTTCTAACAGTCTCGATCCAACATGGCCAAAGGAATGCAACAACTGTTATATATATCTATATAAATGTATGTATTGGTCCATGCTTCACACTCAAAAATGTCTTTTTAATTGAACTGTTCTACAACTTTTTAATAAAAGTGACATTATGCTGTTTACGCTGTTCTAATAAAAACACTAATAATTCATGCTTGAAAAGGTTAAATGACACACAAGCACAGCAGTGTACTGAGAAGGTACTGAGAAGCGCTGCTGTAGGTTACACTAAACTGCACTTTTCAGTCAGTCCAGTGGAGAAGTGTGGTGTAACGTACCGGGCAGAGGATGAGGGTCAGTCAGTGTAACTCACACGGCAGAAGATTTCTGTGCACTGTTTAAACAGCAGCTCTTCAGAAGGCACAGTCACACCAACTTCAAACACATTACAGAAGAAGAACCGGGACGCTGAGGTTTACCCCCCCACAAACACACACAGCTGGGGGGCTGAATGTGGATGTTATTTTTAGAGCGCTCTTGTTTTGACGTCGCGGCCCAACAGAGAATAAACCTCTCCAGATATCGGTGGGAAATTTTCCAGAGCATTTTGTAAGCCAAGCGGCCAACATCTGCTCCACCAGCTCACACACACCAGTCCCTCTCACACGCACACACGCTCTAGTGTGTGTGTGTGAATGCTGCTGTGCTAGTGTCTTTATCACTTTGTGAGGACCGAATGTTCTCATGATGAAAGAGCAGCATAACAGTTTTTTACAATTTTGCTGATCCTCACAAGAAAGCAATGAAAAGAGCCAACAGATTGCTGTTAGGTTACTGAGGATACTGTAAGGTCATGAGGTCATTACCTACAGTAATACAGAAGTCAGTGAAAGTCCTCACAAATATAGCAACACCAGTGTGTGTGTGTGTGTGTGTGTGTGTGTGTGTTTCTTGTGGAGAGCAGCCAAGTGTCCCCACAACCACAAAATGTTTTGATCAGACTCTGAGATCTGGTCCCCACAAAGAGATAAATACACAAACACAGAGCTGGTTGCTGATATGATCAGCTGTGTAAGACTGATTATACACAGTCAGACTGAACCACTAACAGACTGAGAACAGTAATGCTGCACACTGTGGAGCTCTACAGCTAAACACATTTACATTCAAACAGTTTAAAGATGCATAAAAGTTACAGCTGCAACATTTTCCGCACACAATAAGGCAACAATGTTTCCACAAGACTAAATCTGCTTCAAGTGACGAAAGAAAAAGCTAAAGCACTGCTACTGGCTCTGTGCAGTGGACCAATCACAGTCTAGGGCAGGGATCGGCAACTTGCGGCTCTTTTACTGCCCCCTTGTGGCTCCACAGTACAATAAGATTTTTAGGTAAAAATAGAAAAATCCTGCTTTACAGTAAAATAAAGATTTGCAGTAATATAAAGCTTTGCTCATCATTCTAAAACAGTTCTATCATAAAGTTTAACAATAAATTGTCTTAAACGCTTAAGTTAATGTATAACTGCTAATTCACCCTTTAACCCTGAAGGTCGGGGGTACAGACTGCTGGTCAAAGCACCAATCTAAGCCAGCTAGTAGCTAATGAAATGGCAAAGATGAGAAAGATTTAGGACAAACATCAAGAATTTAGAGTTGAATGGACAGACTCGGTTGCCTGATACATTTAATCTGCAACGAGAAGCTGCCAACATTGAGAGAAGTTTTACAAGAAACTTCTACTTTTGCAGAATAGCGTCCTGCTGGAGATGTGAGAAAAGCAGTTACAACAATATCCAAAGTTGCATGCAATGCATTTGGATTCCCCAAATTTTCAGTTCATCTTTTTTGATATATCGTATCTTTCAATCTGTATAAAGGGTAATCTACATATTCACAGCTTGTTGCAGCTGCAAATGTGTTGCAGGATACTTTACATTATATAACTTAAGCGTGGTCTAGTTTCATGTAGGTTTCAAAGAGTTTGCATGATTGTTTTACTGTGTAAAGCCAGTCTAGGGACTTTGGATAAGTTTTGATAGGCTGTTATATGAAACATGCTCAGTAAAGTTGAGATAGTTGCTGCTGTTGCGGCTGAGTTTCTGAGAAAGTAAGTTGATGAGTTGCTGTTCATGCAATACCCTTTATGAAAGTGAACATTGTGGAGTGTCAGTACTTCAGGCTAAAATGGGGCATTCTGGGAGTAGGTAGTAGATGTTGAGTTAAAAAATGATTACACTGTTCAGCGACAGAAAAGCTGAGTTTCAAATGAGTTGCAGGATGCTTTAGATTCTCAAGTGCAGTCTAGTTTCATGTAGGTTTGAAGCAAGGTGCATGAAAGTCCTGTTCTGTAAAGCCAGCCTAGCAACCTCCATCTGTTGTAGTTTACCCTTTCAACCGCCAATAAACCATCTTCTGTTTTATTTTCTTGTTCACTGATCAGGGAAAAGCCTGTCCTTTAGCGACATCGCATGATGCGTTATCAGCATTTTGATTAGCCGTTTCATGAAGCTTCATGCTACTGATATTGCTGCTGAGTTTCTGAGAAAGTGAGTTGAGTTGCAGGACGCTTTACATTATGCAACTCAAGTGCAGTCTAGTTTCATATAGTAGAAAGTATAATAGAAAGTTTACACTCTTTATGAACACTTTATGAAATCGAACATTGTGAAATTTTAGTACTTTAGGCAAATACAGGAGTGTGCTAGGAGCAGAATCTTGAGGTGAAGAGTAATTACACTGTTCATTGACAGAAAAGCTGAGTTTCTAATGAGTTGCAGGATGCTTTACATTATGCAACTCAAGTGCAATTTAGTTTCATGTAGGTTTCAAGCAAGTTGCTGTGTAAAGCCGGCCATGCAACAATGAGTCAGTTGTAGTTATCCCTTTTGACTGCCAATAAACTATCTTCTGTTTTATTTTCTTGTCCTCATGCAAAATCCAAAAGTGTGTCCTTCGACATGATCGCATGATGCATTATCATTATAGAGTTTTGATTGGCCGTTTCATGAAACTTTGTCAGAGAAGCTACTGATGTTGTGGCTGAGTTTCCAAGAAAGTGAGTTGAGTTGCAGGACGCTTTACATCATGCGGTCTAATTTAAAGTAGGTTTTGTTTTGAAGTTGCATGAAAGTTTACACCCTTTCTGAAAGTGAACATTGTAGAATTTTAGCATGTTAGGCTGAAACGGGAGTTCTAGGAGCAAAATGTTGAGGTAGAGTAATTACACTGTTCAGTGACATAGAAGCGTCCCGACACTCGTACAGACTCTCCTCAGGCTCACAGGCTGTGATTCATACAGTTGTCAGCGCAGCTGCAGACAGAACACAGAGTAATGGAGTTTAACTACACGCTACACACACACATTTCTCATTGCTAAACACACACACACACCCCAGTTTCTCAGTGTGTGTGGTGAGCAGGCGTTCGCGCACTCAGCAGTGTTTGAGTGTGAAGGCAGGCCGTGTTTTGCTGGTTTGTTTGGTCTTTGTTAGCACATGTGCAGTCTGTTTTGAATATAGCGAAGCACCGCACCCCCCCACCCTGCACCCTCAGTTCATGTTCCTGGTCATATTAATCATAATTCAACATATTTGAAGGATTAAGATATTCTTGTTTTCTGGTAATCTTCCATCTAAATGTAATGACTTTAGCCCCGCCCCTAAAACTCTTATATAAATCTGTCACTGTACAGAAAGAGAATCAGTTCTGATTTTAACCTGTGCTACTAGTTTACATCACACTTCATAAACCACTCTCTTCTCTTCTTTCCCTGTATCTCTTCTCCTTTACTCTCTTCTCCTCTCTATCTTTCTTCTCCTCCTCTTTTTTCCTCTATTCTATCTTCTCTTCCTTTTCCTGTTTCTCCTCTCTTCCTATCTCTTCTTTTCTCTCCCTATCTGCTATGTTCTCTTCTTATTTCTT